GTCTACGTCCACGGACCAAGAAGTGGATGAGTTTTTACTAATAGAGAAGAAGAATAAAATCTGAGATTATAAATCACTCGAACTCACCAATTAATCTCACCAATAAATCTCTAATTCTCTCCAAATAAAACCCTAACTAATATCTCAGAAAATACCTTTTTTGTGCTCCAAATATCCCTAATTCGCTGCCCAATTCTCTCTTCTAATCGTTCCATATATATATAGAAAACCTAAAACTAAAAACATACTAGGAATTCTAAAACAAAAAACAAAACAGATTAGGAATTCTAATAACATGTTACCAAAACAGATTTGGAATACTATTATCAAAACAGATTAGGAATCCCAATAATCTGTTACCAAAACAAATGAACTCCAAACTGAACCAAACTTATGTCATTTGAAAGATGTATGAATCTAGTTTTCAAAACAGAAAATCATTTGTAAAAATAGTTTTCCTAGAGAAAGATATGATTATTTTACTAACAGATGTTCTGTCTGTTTTCCTGCTCGTTTTGTGGAGCTGTGTTGCGCCATTTTGAGGTGCATTCGCGAAGTTTTGAGCCACTTGATGTTCCACGTATAGTCATGAATATGTTATGTTATACATTTGAGAATCCTAAGAGGGTTATGATAAATTTGGTTTCGATCATATTTGAATTAGATATAGTTCATATACATGTTGGATGTCGTTGATGAGCACAACTCAGTACTATATGGGATAGTACGTCGACACACCAGATATACACCGTTTATACATGAGGTGGATATCGTTGATGAGCTCAGTTCAGTACTACATGAGGTAGTGCATCGATATTTCACATTTATAGGCCATTGAGTCGGATTTTAGGAGGCTTGATCTAGCCGTCCGTCCCGCACTAGGGTGCGATAAGGCTCGTGAGCCGTATTTCTAGGATGCCTATTTGGTAGTTCGTTACACTCATGTTACGCACGGAGATCGCGATGAGACTAATGAGCCGTGTACACAGTTCAGGATACTTACAGGGTAGTTCGTTGTACTGAGACAATTACTTGATAGCCTAAGCATGGCAGATACCGATTATGAATACGACCTATCACTAAACTTTATGACTGAGATACGTTATTTTTGAAAGTATACAAAATTATGTGTTGGTATTTTATTCTATCTCTCCAGTGATAGTGGAAGATATTATAAATATGACGTGTTGATATCTTATTTCTTTTACTGCCTTCTTTACTTCTTAGTTGGGATCAATGATTAGAGATTCACAACTTGAGACATATGGTATATATATAAGGGTTTTCTTGTTTGGATTATTTCGCTCGACGTACCAGTCTCGTGTTATGGATTTCTAATTATTGGTTTCATTAGATTATCTTTTCTTAGTTCGGTATTAATGTTTAGATATCTACAATTTGAGACTTACGGTATATACATGAGGGTTTCCTTATTTGGATTATTTGCTCAACGTTCTACGTCTCGTGTTGTAGGTTTTTAAATGTTAATTCCACTTAGATACGGGGAAAATAAATCTAGGTAGACTATGCTTAATAGATAGAGCCTTCAATCCATCTAGTAGCCCTTCCCCTGGGGGCGAGTGGAGGTAATCTTGCTGTAGCGCTCTGACGTTCTTGTTATTATTCTTTTTCTTTTAAATTACTTTTTAGGTAGTTCAGAGTTTCGGAGAGTCGCAGGGTGACGGAGTTCTGGCATAGTCACCGTCGCGTATTTTTACTTGTAGAGACTCCACTGTAGTTTTGAGTTTTATCGAGACATTAGAGTTTATATTCATATTGTAAAGACAGTGTGCCTTAGTACGATTTTTAGTTGATTCATGTTAAGACATTTTTATTATTCAGATATCAGATGTATTATAGTTGAGACGTGATTCTTTTCATTTATGATATATCTCTTCTATATCATGTCTATTATATTTATTCCCTTTATTTTACCTATTTTGTACCTGTACTTCTATTTGTTTCTACTAGAGGATATTACTGTGATTGGTGAAACATGTTTATGTACAGTGTAGGTGCATGGCAGGTTTGACATCTCTAGTTTCACCTTGGACTGCAGCCATGTGTGAACCCAGGGGCGTCATAGTACTCCTCCAATTAGCCCAAGCGTAGCTTGAACTCTAATACAATTGTTGTGCACGGCGAAAGCCAAACAACTGATGTGCTTCGAGGAACCAAACTAATCACCGAGAGAGAAGGCCACAAACAATTCAAAAATAACTACACAAACTCAAATAACCAATTTTAACGTGGTTCGACAAGTTGTCTACGTCCACGGACCAAGAAGTGGATGAGTTTTTACTAATAGAGAAGAAGATTAAAAGCTGAGATTACAAATCACTCGAACTCACCAATTAATCTCACCAATAAATCTCTAATTCTCTCCAAATAAAACAAATCACTCGAACTCACCAATTAATCTCACCAATAAATCTCTAATTCTCTCCAAATAAAACCCTAACCAATATCTCAGAAAATACCTTTTTTGTGCTCCAAATATCCCCAATTCGCTGCTCAATTTTCTCTTCTAATCGTTCCATATATATATAGAAATCCTAAAACTAAAAACATACTAGGAATTCTAAAATAAAAAACAAAATAGATTAGGAATCCTAATAACATGTTACGAAAATAGATTTGGAATACTGTTATCAAAACAGATTAGGAATCCTAATAATCTGTTACCAAAACAAATTAAGAAATATATTAGGAACATGCTATCCAACAATCAATATATGTTTCAAATCTAATAGTTTGTCCCAATCATCTCAATTTTAGACATGTTGTGCATTGTGCGGAAGCCAAACAATCAAACGTGCTTCGAGAAACCAAATACTAAACGTTGAGATAAAGGCCAAATCAACCAAATCAATGCCACAAACACAAACAAACCAATTTTAAAGTGGTTTGATAAGTTACCTACGTCCACAGGGCAAGAAGGGGATATAGTTTTTACTAATAGAGAAGAAGAGTACAAATTGAGATTACAAATCACTCAAAGGAACAAACTAATTTTACCAACAAAGCTCTTAATCTCTCCAAATAAACCCTAATCAAATAGCTCAGAAAATACCTCTTTCCTGTGCTCCAAATATCCCCAATTTAAGCCTTACAAACCCTCAAAATCGTGTTATTATTTATACCAAAACAGAAACCCAAACAGAATCGAAATAGGAACTCTAACTGTTTAGAAAACCCACTATAAGTTGACTTAACAAGGTGTATAAGTCGACTTGACAGAGAGAAAAACAGCAACTGGAGAACAGATTGAAAATCGACTTACCATCGACTTACCACAAGTCGACTTAACAGGCTTCACAAGTCGACTTGACAGAGCCAAAACCAACAATTTCAGAACAAAACGTAAGTCGACTTACCATCGACTTACCATAAGTCGACTTATGCCTGTGCATGAGTCGACTTATGACACAGAATCCGCACAATCTGGACCAAATCTCTGATTTCTCCACAAATCTCCACCTCGGCAAAGTTTTTTCAAAACTGAGCCGATACCAACCAAACCAAATGCCTCACTTGTTGCGTCCAGTACGAAGTGAAACAATTCATAACAACGAACTCAATCCACAACAAGTCGAGACCCAAACAAGAGTGCGAATACACTCCCAAACATCGATGTCTACTCACCAAATCGGTCTCACATGCCAAAACACACACCCATCATGTTCTTGTGGACATATGCAAACCATCTAAATTGATAATTCATGCTCGATTTTGGCTTAATTACCTCTAAGTTCTTATAAGTGCAAAATATATAGAACTATTTTAAAATAAATGGAATCTACTACTTACAAAATTATAAATATTCAAGGTTAACAAGTACTTCATCAAGCAGTTAAAAATTAAATAGCAAGTCATGGTAATGCATGCATCCAATCCGTTTGATGAAGTGACGTACAAGTCATGAATATGGTTAGTGGAAGACTTAGGTATGGAGCACGAACACACAAATTCTACTATATGTTAACTGACTTGAGTTCTTCTTCTTAGACATCTGGGCAAATAAATCAATTGCCCTAATTCTCTTGATAATATTATGTACTCTTTTTTTTTTTTTTGAATTTCTAAACTTATAAGACCATAAATATGAACTTCTTGTTAAGTAGGTGGAGAAGGGATTTCAAATGGTATATTACACTAATATAGAAGCCAAGAAAATAAGGACACAACTACTTACAACATACATTTTTAATACTTGTTTTCCACATAAAAGGCTACTCATGATTTGCAAACATATGTAACTGGAATACTTAATACCTTCTCTTGCTTATTCCTAGCCTTTATATCATCTTAAGATATACATCGATCCGATATATGAATACCAATCCTTGCTCTACGTATGAAGGCCTTAGAAATTCACATAAAATTCTAATAATGTATGTGTTGAGCTTTTCATACAAATTTATACAAATTCCAAAATTTACAGTCTTGCAAAATTTTCTCTTTACGATTTGTACATCACCATCCCTAACCCTAAAATCTCTACACAAGTTATTGGCACTTATCCTTGATGGAATTTGAAGAATACAACACTCTACACAAAGGAAACTTTTATTGATAGAACACTTAAGAATACAACACTTGTTCTTACAAGAACACCTCACTTTCACACAACTCCTTTATTTTGGTGGACACTCACACAAGGCTACACTACACACTCAAGCTCTCAAGCTCACTTCTTGCTTGCTTGCTTAAATGAGAGCCCAAGACCCCTATTTATAGTTACTTTAGACGGCTAGGAAGTGTGTAGAAGAAACAATTCTAGCCATACATTATTACCACATTCTACACACTTCTCCTAAAAGATCTTCTTTCTACATTCTTCTATAATTTTCTCTTAAAAATATCTTTCTTCCACATTTGTTGAGAAGCTTCCATTGTATTGGGCTTAGATGAAATGGAATTGGGCTTTTATTTTTCCTTGGGCTGAAAATAGATTGGGCTTTGTAATGGGCTGGGGTTGATCTTCAACAATCCAAACCTCAAATTCTTAGGGTTTGTACCAAGTTACCAACTTGTATCGCAGCATCTTGCCATGGCCAAGCACCAAAATTTTGCTGCCCCACAAATTCCCTTGCCTTATTAATCAAATTAACCCCATCCTTCTTCACTTTCTTCATTTTAGGACACTTCAACAACCCAACATAAGTCCCAATGTCATGGACACACGCGGGGTTCTTCATCTTGAAGAAATCCAATGCAAGCTCAACCCCAACATGTGCATAACATGCACAACTCCATGGGAGCTCAAACCTCTCAGCCAAAACCCTAAACTTCTCATTTAAGAAAACCCCTGGCAGTTTTGTCACAGGGTCATTAACATTCACCACTCTCAAAACCTTAACTCCAAGCTCCTCACACCTCTCCTTAAACCCTAGATTCCCAACCCTAGGCCCACCGTACGAATAAACGGTGACGGGTATTGTTCGATTCAACCCGACCCGGTTCAGTCCAAGCTCAGCTAGGTCATAACCAAGCAACAGAGCTAAAGAACTCCCCATACTATGACCAGCCAATGTAATACTAATCTCCTCATCTTTATACTTATTTAACAATCTTGATATTTCAGAGAGCAATTGCTCTCTGCAACTCCCATGACTGAACTTACAGTTACTGTCATCTGATGTGTAGAGACTCAAGAACCCCGACTCGACCTTCAGGTTGGGTCTCGACTCGTTTGGGTCGAGCCTGGCCGGCGTTAGGGAGCTCATGAAGTTGGCAATCCACTCAGTGTGGGTCACCGTACCACGGAAAGATACTACGATGTCTCTCCTCCCGAGTTTCTTAACCTCGTCGTCGTCTGACACGGCGACGTACCCGATCCAATGACTCCGACAAGTTCCCAATTGTGATGGGATGTCGATGTCCGGTGTCGCGTAGACGTATTTCGTGATTCGGTATCCACAGTCTGCCATTCCGGTTTCTTGAAACATGGTGGATTTCCCGTACTTGCGATTCAGGTATCTTTTCGAGCTTGGGTCGAGGTCAAAGGCCTCATAGGAGGCGATGACGAACTCGCCATAGCGGACGATTTCTTGACGGAGGAGTGGGTTTAAGGGCGCGACAAGATCTTCCCAGTCGTCAGCACCCTGGATATCCCTCCATTTTTTCGCGAGGACGGGCTTCGAAGCGACGGTTGGAGTCGCGACGAGGGGTTTTTTGGTGGAGACCGCAGTCCCCGGGCAAATCAAGGCTGTGGCGGCGGCCGGAGGGTGAGAGAGACGAGAATGCGGTGATCGGTTATTGATTGGAGACGGATTCGGGGTTGTGATTCTTGAAGCCATAGTTTTTGTTAGCGTTTTGAAATGGAGTAAGGGTGAAGGGAGTAATATTTATAGGCTATGAAGCACGGACACGCATAACATGAAGCCGTGTCGTGTCGTGTCCGTGTCGGACACACGTGTCGAACACACGTATCCTATGTATTTTTTAGGATTTGCCTCGTGTCGGCGTGTCGGATGGCCGTGTCGGATCCGTGTCCGTGCTACATAGTTTATAGGCACGGAGCCGAGGAATCTTGCAAAGGAAGAAAATCGAAGTCCAAAATTAATCGAAAATCAATGGCATTTGCTAAAAAAAGGAAGAAAATCGAAGTCCATCTTGCAAAGGAATCTTGCAAAGAAATGTGAAAAGTTTCAAAAACGTGGATTCCAAATTAATCCATTTCCAGACGTATGGCAATTTATGCTACACGTACCCGACCCTTACAGTATGAGGATATGTATATGTGTACTTGTTGATGTTTGCCTAGGCTCGGTCATGCCTCAGTTTGCATAGATGTCAAGTTAAGTTCATTGGTTGGAATTTTAATAGGATTCAAATCCTATTGGCTTGGAGATATATTAGGAAAGTTTAATATATTAGGAATACCATGTAAATTAGAATACAATCATCAAAGTAGACTTTAATATTTACTTTGAGTTACTTGTGAATACGTGGGGAACTCAGCCACGTGAGACCACGAGAAAAATCTCGTGAAGAGAGTTTGTGAGAGGCCCACCCGATTCAATAGGTAGGTATAAATAATAGAAAAAAACCCTAGGGCAGTGTGCAAGTAAGGAGGAATCAAAGGAGCGGCTGCGGAAGATTTTGTGTGCGGGGTTTTTTTTCTTGGCGACTGCAGCAAACACAGAGAACAAAAGCTACAGGGATTTTGGCGGCTGACTGAGAGAAGAAGAAGCAAAGTCTTTTTTGTAGTAGTTCTTTGTTTTGTGTATCCCTTTGAGAGAATATTTATAAGGGGGGTTATTCATTGGTGTAATTTTGGGGATAATGGGATAATTTTTGGAATATCACTTTTTGGTGTTATTCATTGGGGTAATTGGAATTGGAGTCAACTTTGTGGTGTTATTGGTTTGTTGTGGAATTGGAGTCAACTTTGTGGTGTTATTGGTTTGTTGGGGTAATTGGGGGACAAATACTCCACTTTCTCCTAAATTACACCAACTATATAAAGATCTTGGTTTGTTGGGGTAATTGGGGGACAAATACTCCACTTTCTCCTAAATTACACCAACTATATAAAGATCAACTCCACCCCTTCCTCATAATTACCCCAAATTTACAACATCCTCCATATTGGAACAATGTTGTTCCGCTTTGAAAGCAATTGGGATAATTTTAAAATATTTTTGTATTACTTAACTAATACATGCTAATTATATTATAAATATATGATATGATATATAAAATATAACATATATTAATATTTTAATAACATAATTTAATAACATATATTAATAATATTATATAATAGTAATTATAGTATAACGTATTTATTATAATATTATATAATATTTTCATAACATAATATATTAATAATATTATATAATAACATATATTAATATTTTAATAACATATATATAATATTTTAATAACATTTATTAATAGTATTATGTAATATATTATTATATTATATATATATTATTTTAATTTTAATATAATATTTTAAAAAATATTACATTGAATAAAGTAAAATATTATAATATTTTATAAAGTACATTATATCCTATGATACTATATTATAATATATTAAATTAAATAATATATTATTAAAGTATTATATTATATATATTATTCATATATTATATCAATTATTATATAATGTAGCATACTAATATAATGTTAATTAGTAATTATTGTATAACATATTATATTTTTGTATAAATAAAATAATGTATTATATTAAATATTATATTATTAAAATATTATATTAAATATTAATATTATATTATATTAAATATTATATATAGTATAGCATGCTAATATAATATAATACAATACAATATAATAATTAATAATAGTAATTTGTAAGTATAGTATAATATATTATATTTTAATATAAAATAAAATAATATTTATATTATAATAATATACTAAATAATATACTAAACCAATTGGATAAGTTAATTTAGAAGTAATTAATAGATAAAATTAAACCAATTGGATAAGTTAATTTAGAAGTAATTAATAGATAAAATTATATTTTAATAAGGTGTCACATCATCAATTATCCTACATGAATTGTCAAATCAAATGCTGAAATTATCCCATTATCTCTCTTTATCCCACTTTACCCCACTCAAAAAATCCCAAAGGGGTAAAATTGTTCCATTGGAACACTTTTCCCCTTTGGCCCCAATTTGTCTCAACCAATAACCCCCCCTAAGAGGGATTTGAGAGTTTGTTTGAGAGGGTTTAGATTGTGAGATTGTAAACCCTAGTTGTATCTCTTCCTCTAATAGTAGATCTCTCCCTCCTTGCCCCGTGGACGTAGGCTATTTGCCGAACCACGTAAAAGTTGTATTCTTGTCGTGATTTGTAATAGCTTGTAGGATCCCTCGACAGGTCAGTCCTAGAACTGATGAGAGGAAGAGCCGATATCTCACTTGGTTGAGATATCCGCTTCAGATTCTTGTTTCCTTGGTGAGACGGGAATTCTTATCGATCTAATCTCTCTTGTTGTGCTGCCGAAGTGCTGCCGAAATTTCCGCTGCGCACAACAAGTGGTATCAGAGCATCGGGTTAGACTTGGGAGCTAGTTCGAAGGATTCACTGAAGGATTCTTATTTGAAGAATTAGATCGATAACATGGGAGAAATAAGCACATCGGGATCGTCTCTTTCGAAGGCGATACAGAGTCTGAGCATCAATAATACAAAAATTGATGTTCCGAAGTTCGACGGCAAGATCAATTTCGGTTTGTGGAGGTGTCAGGTGATGGACGCCTTGGATGCACAAAATTTGGAGGAGACTCTTGAGTTACAAGAGAAACCCGCTGATATGGAGGATAAAGTTTGGAAGAAAATGAATAGTAGGGCTTGTGGAGTTATTTGGTCATGCTTGACGCCGGATCTTATTTATGACGTAATGAATGAGACGTCGGCGAAGAGAATGTGGGAAACACTCAATGAGAAGTATCTGACGAAGAGCATTGAGAATCGGCTTCACTTGAAGAAGAGGTTTTACCAATTCAAGATGAAGAGGGGAGTTTCCATTCGGGAGCATGTTAACAACTTCACGAAGCTAATTTCGGATATGGCCAATGTAGATATCAAGGTTGAGGATGAAGACAAGGCAACTTCACGAAGCTAATTTCGGATATGGCCAATGTAGATATCATGGTTGAGGATGAAGACAAGGCGATGCTACTATTGTGTTCGTTGCCGGAGGATGATTTTGGTACGTTTGTTCTCACTATGATAAATGGAAGAACTACGGTTAGCTACAAGGAGGTGACCTCAGCTTTGGTGAATTATGAGTTGAGGAAGAGTGATAGCGAACCCTCCGAGAAGGCATCGGGAGATGCATTAGCAGTTCGAGGCCGTGGTCCAAACTGTCGTCCAGGTGATCGCTCAAGATCGAAGTCAAGAGGTGGCCATAGAAATATTGGTAGGAATCAATGTCGCTTTTGCAAAGAAGAAGGACATTGGAAGAACGAATGCCCAAAGTTGAAAGATAAAGCCGGAAAGAATAAAGGGAAAGCTGTACAAGCTTCGGAAGTGAATGTTGTTAAGGCTAGTGACGACAATTCAGATACAGATTCTTCAGGCTATTCCTGCTCTGCACTACCGTCAGTTTGTTACGCTGACTCTACGGAGTGGATGATGGATTCTGGTGCCACATACCATATTTGCCCTAGGAGGGTTCTCCAGCTTTGAGGAGTTGGAAAGAGGGGATGTCGTGCTCATGGGTAATGATCACGTATGCCCTATTGGTGGTATTGGTACAGTACGGATCCAGATGTGTGACAAGGTAACTTGGGAGCTGAAGGAAGTGAGATTCGTTCCTCAATTGACGAAGAATATCATTTCGCTTGGAACTTTGGAGGCAGCTGGCTATAAGGTGATCTTGGAGAATGCGACTCTGAAGGTCACAAAGGGGTCCATGGTGGTGATGCGAGGTGTCAGGGAAAATAACCTTTACTACTTAAAGGGCAAGACAGTAACAGGGGGTCTGGCAGCTTCGATTACCACAGAGGAAGATACTACCAGTTTATGGCACATGAGATTGGGACACACTGGTGATAAGTCTCTGCAGGTATTGGCAAAGCAGGGGCTATTGAAGGGTGCGAAGAACTGCAAGATGGAGCTGTGTGAACATTGCATACTTGGGAAGAAGACAAGAGTGAAATTCGGCACCGCTATTCACAATACCCAAGGTATATTGGACTATATTCACACAGATGTTTGGGGCCCTTCCAAGCACACATCACTTGGTGGGGCCAACTATTTTGTCACTTTCATTGATGACTATTCCAGGAGGAATTGGGTATACCCGATGAAGCATAAACATCAGGTCCTGGATATTTTTGTGGAGTGGAAGAAGAAAGTGGAGCTGCAGACAGGTAGAAAGGTAAAAACTCTACGTTCTGATAACGGTGGAGAGTATAAGAGTGATCCGTTTCTGCAGTTTTGCCGGGATCACGGCATTAGAAGACACTTCACAGTTCGAGAGACACCGCAACAGAACGGGGTGGCTGAGAGATTGAACCGTACCTTACTGGAGAAGGTACGATGTATGATGACGCAGAGTGGATTGTCAAGATCCTTTTGGGCCGAAGCGTTGGTTTATGCGAGCCATCTCGTGAATAGATTGCCGTGCACTGCGATACAAGGGAAGACTCCGTTGGAGCGTTGGTCTGGTTCGGTAGCTAGTGACTATGAGTCGCTTCGGATATTTGGGTGTCCAGCTTATTACCATGTCAGTGATGGTAAATTGAATCCGAGGGCGAGGAAAGCAGTCTTTGTGGGATTTAGAGATGGAGTTAAAGGCTTCAAGTTAT